GTTCTGCTATTTTAGGACTTTGGTCTTGTTCCAGAAGTTGAGTTTTGTGTGCACATCTGTTTTACAGATCTTGCTTACTTGTAGGCAGACTGTTGGTTCCTCACCTCTCAGACAGAAGCACTCTGACTGTGTAGGAAACACCCCTAATTTGTCACCTCCTAGCTGCTTGTTAGGAGAGCAGCTGATCTTTTTCCCCCCAAAATGGGATCCCTAAACATTTTCCTGAGCTGAAAAACAAATGTGGATGATAGGTCAACAACCATTCACAACATGATCTATAACAGGTACATAAACATTGAAGACATCAGAAACATATTTTGGGAAGTCTTTAGATCTCTCTTAATTAGATATTGTTTTAAGTGAACAAATGTGCTCAGATTTTAAAATAGACCATATAATACCATTTTTTTTTAAACCTGATTAAAACACATTAGACACTGAGGCACAGTGATTAAGATAGACAACAGACAGACAGATGGCTTGACTGGCAGAAGATAAAGAGACAATCAGTCAGTCAAAATAGTAGAGAGATAAGGTAGGACATATCATAAACATTTAATTAAACTCACAGACAGGCAGACAGTCTGTCAGAGAGAGGAGCAAACTGACAGAGAGAAATTATAGGATAAATAATTAATAATTAATTAAACTCACAGACAATGAGGCATAGTGATTAGGACAGACAGACAGACAGACAGACAAGACAAGACAAGACAAGACAAGACAAGACAAGACAAGACAAGACAAGACAAGACAAGACAAGACAAGCCAAGCCAAGCCAAGCCAAGCCAAGCCAAGCCAGCCAGCCAGCCAGCCAGCCAGCCAGCCAGCCAGCCAGCCAGACAGACAGACAGACAGACAGACAGACAGACAGACAGACAGACAGACAGACAGACAGACAGACAGACAGACAGACAGACAGACAGACAGACAGACAGACAGACAGACAGACAGACAGACAGAGAAGCAGAGAGATAAGATAAGGCACATTATAATACAAGCAGAGAGATAAGATAAGGCACATTATAATACAATTAGTTAAGCTCATGAATTAGACCCTGAAACAATGATTAAGACAAACTGACAGACAGATAAACAGATACAGTTGACTGACAGAAAGATAAATAAAAGATGGACAAATAGATAAAGAGGCACAGAAAAGCAGACAAACAGATAGGAAAGCAAACAGAGATGAACAGACTGACAGATGGGGTACAGGCTTCTAAATACGTGCGTCCAAGACATTATCTAAATATGTATGGTTGGGAATGAGGTTGATACGTATGTATATGAACAAACATTTATATGTCTGTCCTTTATGTAAATATTTCTGACTTTAAAAGAATTCAGATTTTGTTATTTTATAATAATTATTTACTTTATTGTTTTTTTTTTCCATTTTTTTTTTAATTACCATGTAATGCCAGGGTGTGGGGTTTTATCCCAGCTGCAGGCCTTGCGCCGGTTTCGAGAAGCCGACCATCCAGAAAGCAATGGCAAACTACTGGACATAAATTTGCCTATAAAAACCACAACAGCCAAAAACATTTTGGGTTGGTTCTGCAACATCCTGTAAAGGATACGCAACTAAATAAATCATGGCTAAATGTAAGCACATAAAAACCAGTGTATGTGTTTGTAATGATAGCCTGTCCAAGTATGTGCATGCATGTCTATCTTCATGACTGATTGCATGCAAGTACGTCAGTGAAGAGAAGAAAGTTGTGAGAACAAAAACGAATACAGTACACTCTTGACACATATTTTTAGCAACAATCACATACACTATTTACAATAATAACAGTACCATGAATTTTTGCAGTTAAGAAACTATTTAGATAATATAAAACTGAGTGACCTTCACTGTTTCAGCAATTTTGTTTACAATGTCTAGTTAGTTTCAGCAGTTTAGGTATTCCTGTACAACTTTCTGCTCTCACTGGTTTATATATTGTTGGATAGACAAATGTTTCAGCAGTTTGTCTAGGTTGTAGTTTCAGCACTTTACATATTTTTGCAAAGCTGATTACCTCCATGAATGTATATAAAGTTGAACAGATTAATATTTCAGCAGATTGTGTAGCTAGTTTCAGCACTTTACACATTCTTTCAAAGCTGATTACCTCCATGGATTTATATAAAGTTAAACAGATTATTATTTCAATCGATTGTGCAGCTAGTTTCAGCAGTTTATACATTTTTGCATTGACTGTTTTCATGTGTTTATATACTGGGGAACATTAAGTAGCCAGACATGGTTATGGACACTATCATGCTGGATAGGACTGGCATTCCCAGCATTAATACCATCCTAATGCAGTCACAGATTTGATGGCCTGGCCGTATTGTTCGAATGCCTAAACATTGGCTCCCAAAAATAATCTTCTATTGTGAGATAATGAAGGTCGACGTTCTCATGGTGGCCAGAAAAAACGCTTCGAAGACAACGGCGTCACTGAAAGCCTTCAGCATAAATCATGATAGCTGGGAGGCTGCAGCACACGACTGGACTTTATGGGGCACATATATCAGAAATGGTGCAATGATCTGCGAGGCATCTAAACAGCAAATGCAAGCCAGAAAGACCCGCCAAACAGGCCTTTCACATACAGCCACTGTGCTCTGCCCTCATTGTCCTAGACTCTTCCGGGCACACAATAGACTTGTAAGTCACCTCCCAACTCACAAACATTCAGTTAATGACGGATGAAAAAATGCGGTCTTTATAACCAGTGATGATCGAACAATAACAACTGCTAACAGATTATTGTTTCAGCAGTTCAGACATGTCCGCAAAACTGATATAAATTTATAAATTGCTGGGCCAGTGATTGTTTCAATAGTTTGTGCTGCCAGGTCAGCAGCTCATGTGTTACTGCATTTATTACTGCTTTCAAGTGTTCATGTACTGCTGAAAAGATTGTTGTTTCAGCAGTTTCCCATTTTTCTGAATGAATTTTTGTAGTGGCTTGTATAGTCAACACCTTGCTAGTTTAAGTAGGTTGAATATTCCTTTAATATATTTCAGCAGCAATGATTTTCCTGACTGGATTGTTTCAGTAACGTTAATTCCTTTAAGAATGTGTCTGGTTCAGCAACTACTATAAAGTCAACAACGGAATGGAAGGAATACACTGCGAGCCCTGTGTGACATATAATGGTACAACAGAACAATGACATCTTCATTTCAGCAATCTGTATAAAAATTGTCTATTTTTAAGTAGTGGGGAAAATTCTACACAAATATCTACACAACTTTTAATCAACACAGATATTCCTACTTATTATTTCAACAGCAATGATATTCCTGACTAGATTATTTCAGTAACATAAATTCCTTTAAAGATGCCTGGTTCAGCAACTAGTATGAAATTACCTTTGTAATTTTCATATTCCTATTTCCATTCTTCTTTCAGTAAACTGACATGCAGCAGGGCTATTTAACTAAATTTGCCCAGGAGCCAAAATTTTGAAAACTGGGTATCTCCACGGTCCAGAGTCTCACGCTCCAGCATAAACAGCTCAATAATACAGTACAACTGGCAATGATCCGCGGGCCCACTTGCTATGCCTTCGCGGGTCAGATTTGGTCCGCGGGCCGCCAGTTAAATAGCCCTGTCATACAAGATAGTACGGAATAGAGGAAAACATTGCAAGCCCTGTGTGAATAATAATGGCACTATAGGAAATGACATCCTTGTTTCAGCAACTGGTACAATCCTCCTCTATTTGACATTTCTAGGACCAAGCATGTTCACCCCACAGATACTAGCTCTTAGAGATCTCCTCAATAACCTGGCAATATAATGCAACGCTGTAATAAAACTTGTTATTTTTTTTAAAGAACACAGTTATCTCAGCAATTATATCTTCACGTACAGATTTCAATTTCTTTTCGTCTTTTTCACTTTCTTTCATGATTATACTGTCAGGTGTGCTGTCACGTTGAATGTTGAATTAAGAATCGACATCACAGCACTTGGGACACTCCCATAAGTGCTCAGTCCCCCATCTTCAGCAGCAAGCTAAGAGTTCCAATAGTACCAGTCACCACTTGATTGTATTTCCGTTTCATCCTTTCCCTGGTAACTCCTCACAACGCCATTCTCCTTAGACCGTAATGATCTATATATATGCACCGCCTCACTGTTCACTCACTCCCAAAATGCCCTCACAATATGTAATGTGTCCTGGTAAACGCCATCCATTTTTAGGATATACAACAACTGAGTCTAGTGTTTCTTGACTCGCTGTACACAAAAACATCTGAAGTCCACTGGTGACAAGACAGATGTAGCTTGTATTGTCTAGGCAAGTTATTATGATGACTTAATAGTTTTGGAGTTCATCTTTAACTGAATACAGTTTGGACTGTTCTGAAGTTCATGTTAGTTTCATATCTTTTAAACCACAGAGTGTGGGTGAAAATATGAAGTTCCTCTTAAGTTTTTCATAGCCTGAAATTTTTTTTTTTAAATACCTTTTTAATTCCTTACATCCTTGAACCATTTTAGGACGGAGGGGGGAGGGGGGTGTTTCTGTTATAGTTTCATATACACTTTGGAGAATAATGATGATTTAGTTTTATTCACACTTAGAGAATAATAATGATTTACTCTATGGATGCATATATGTAGTCAGTCTGTTATGTGACCAAAAAATGGTAATAGAGCTCTGCTGGTCTTAAGCATGACAGCAGGCAGTTGTGACAGAGTTATTTATGTCTCTTGCAATTTGCTTCTCAGAAATATGAAGCTTCAGTACTTTTTCCACTCTGCAGAGAGAGACTGAGCCCTTTGGGATAAAACCTGATGAGGTCAAATCAGTGTTCTAACCTTTAAACACCTTTTCAAATCTCACACCTTGGAAATGTAAATGAATGTCTCAAAGTAACTTGAATATCCACATTTGTTGGAAAACAGTTTCAGCAGTTTAGTATTCATTGTCAGCACTAGAGAAAAACATCATTCTGCTACTGAACGGTTCATTTTATGATACATTTATATCCAAGTTATGTATGTTCGCTTGTGAATTGCTAAAGGAGATGTAGGCAGCTTTGATCTTGCGGGCTTCTTGGATGTGTGTGTACTGTTATGGTCATCTGATGACCCCATCAAACGAGCTGACGAAGTTGTCATGGCAACTGCTCCATCACTGTCAAAGCTGTTGCATCTCTGATGATTTCTGTATTCTGGATAATGATGATTAAGAGATGTATCTGGATAAGTGGAGATCTCAAGAAGCCCAGGGCTGCCAGAGGAATCATTGATTTCTTCTAAACTTCCACCAAAAGAAGAATAGGAATAATTAATTTCACTTTCGTTACAAAAATCATCACTTTTGTTGTATGCTTCTCGCTTCACATAATTCAAACAGTGTTGGCTGGTAGTAATTTCCAAGGGTGACACAGGATAATCCATCCCTAATCTGTCCTGCCTCCTCGACCTTTCACCTCTAGCAGACGCAGCAAATGTACCAAGGCTTTCATACTGTACAGCAATGTTTTCATAGTTAGGAGGTGAGTATTCCTTGTATGGGTTTTCCTCACTGTAAGGGGGAAGAGCTGCTCCATAAGGAGGGTTATATTCATCTGAATCAGGTAATGGAGCTCCTCTGCCCATGTGGCGCTGCCTCTGCAAAACACCAAAACAAAAAGAACATTACTTCACTGGACACATTTAAAAAGCATAAACCATCCTCACTGTCCTTCCCCGTGTGGGCTCCGGGGCCCTATTTTAGGGAAACAAGAATAGACCCACTGCCTACCCAAAAGCATGTCGTAAGAGTCGACTAACTGGGAGCTTCCTTCAAAGTCAGAGTGCATCTGCCTGGGAGGCAAGAAACCAACAGGCTGCAAACAAATTAGTCAGATCTGTCAAACGGATGCATATACAACACTCGGGTTCTGGAACAGGACTGCAGTCCAGAAGTGGACAAACAACCAGAACTTTCCACCAGAGTTTACAGCTGGTGAACACAAAAAAGAAGAAGAAGATTGAGTAACTGGCACTCAAGCAGGTAAATAAGCATACATTGAGTAGTAAAGATGCAGAAACTAAATAAGCATACATTGAGTAGTAAAGATGCAGAAACTAAATAAGCATACATTGAGTAGTAAAGATGAAGAAACTAAATAAGCATACATTGAGTAGTAAAGATGCAGAAACTAAATAAGCATACATTGAGTAGTAAAGATGCAGAAACTAAATAAGCATACATTGAGTAGTAAAGATGCAGAAACTAAATAAGCATACATTGAGTAGTAAAGATGCAGAAACTAAATAAGCATACATTGAGTAGTAAAGATGCAGAAACTAAATAAGCATACATTGAGTAGTAAAGATGCAGAAACTAAATAAGCATACATTGAGTAGTAAAGATGCAGAAACTAACAGCTATGTAATAAACAATCCATTTGCTGAGAAGAAAACCACAAAGGGCAGGAATCAACTCAACTGCATTATACTACAAGCTGAATATTATTGTATCAGCCACCTCTGCTTCTTGATACCCATTTTAGGATGTGCCATCCAAGCGGCAGGGGGTGGGGTACCAAGGTGTTGCGGCCGAAGGCTCACTTGAGGTTTCAAAGGTTGCGGGTTCAGGTCCTGACAGAGCCTGAAATCTGTTTTAATTGACCTTGGTTTCCAGGTCGACCCAGCCTTAAAAGAGTATCGGGTAAAGTCAAGGGAAGTAAAGGCAGCTGGCGTGATGCTGACCACATCATCCACCGAGTGCCAAATGGTCTATAAAATATAAGTCTATCCATATATGCCTAATCCGCCCGAAGGCGTGGGAAAAGTGTCTTTTACTTTCTCATTTCTAGTTCTCATTGGAAGACAACTAAATGATGCTAACACCAATGACATAAATAGGACTATTACTTTACTTACTTCTCTATGACATTGAAGGAGAATAATTTTATTGATTACAGTGCCTGTCTCTAGCTGGAGCAGACCAGATTCATCTTACAGCGTTGATTGTTAAAAATTAAGAACAGACACATTTTTCAAACCTCTCTAAGTGGGAGATTTCTTGTTATTTTTCTTAGCATTCACCGGCTGTAAATTCCAGAGGCAACTTCTGTTGTTGTTTTTTTTTCTCCACATCTGGATTTTATCTTGTTCCAGAACCTGAGATTTGCATGCACATCTGTTTTATAAATCTGGCTTATTTGTATGCACAGACTGTTAGTTCTTTGCTTCTCAGGCAGATGCACCCTGACTCTAAAGCCCCCAATTAGTCAACTCTTATGACATGCTTTTTTGAGGAAGGAAGTGAGTCTGTTCTTGTTTTCCCTGCAACCCGCATGGGGAATAACACTCAGGAAAACAGATGAACAGCAGTCTGAGAGATTGTTCTACCAAGACAAGAGACAGAGAGTTTTGAAGATCCATATAGCCAGGATTCATTTTCCTAACTGATTTTTAAAAGACCTAAAAACTATTAAGCCAGATTTCTTTAATATTCCCCAAATCAAATATAAAAAGCACAAGAACTTTGGCAGGGTAATTGTGGCTCTCAGAAAGAAAAAAAACAAGTTACATATCATGCTTGGCTTAAGATTTGAAAAGTTAACACCTTCCACTGGCTCGATGCAGTGATTAGTAGGCCAAAATGTGAAACAGGAACTAAAAACAGCATTTAGGGGAGTTTCCTTATGAACCAGTGGCTTTTTTAAGGCCAACTTGATGTCCAATTTTCCCGTAAGCCTCAGTGATTTCCCGTAAGCCTTAGTGATAGATGTCACAGGGTCGCAGCTTGAGTCACGAGATAATATTATTGTTTAGACCCTGGGGAATATATTCCATTTAATGATTCACTTTGTTTGTGTATACTGATTACCCATTTTTTAAAATATATATAGATATATATCTTTATATATTTGTTACAAAATTATCAGTGACCAGTGTAAAATTATTTTTCTTTAAGAAATATTTTTTTAAAGATTTTTTCTGGGTTCTTTTTTTTTTTTTAATCATTTGCAGGTTTTTTTTTTTTTTTTTTTCAGCATTCGCTGGGAGAAAGGGTCGAATTTTAGATCGGTAAAATATATGAAACTTACCGGCTTAAACAAATATTCAAATGTCCCCCGTCCTTCAGACAGCTCTTGATACTGGGATACAACACAAGCGAAGCAATAGCACTGTGGAAGACATGTCATGTGACAGTTAATACTTGGTGATTCTGGAATCTTATTAGAACCCTTTGGGGCGAAGAATAGTAACATTCAACATTACCAAGCATGTCATATGAGGCAAACAAAGGTAAGGTTGTCATGTGATTGATGACCCCACCGAAATAAAATACACTAATGAAGCAGTAGCACTAGGGAAGAAATACCATGTGAAACAATTAATACTAGGAGTTGCTGGAGTCTACCGGGATCTTTAACTCTTTTAATCATAATCTACGTGCCATGTGTGATCATGTATTGCCCATGATTTTAAAAAACCATGAACAATGTTATCTAGTGTTTATGGGCACTTATGGGTTACTACCCTTGTGCCACTGGGGCTGTGTGGTCTCAAGGCATGTGTCTGCCTCGAGTCCTGGAGGTCCCAGGTTAAGCCCCGGTAAAGGTTTTTCACGTGGACTTCTAGTAATTTTCCCTGGTCTCTGGGTAGTAAGACTGGATGCCCATGTGTATTCTTGCGCATGTAAAAAAACCTTCACTGTGCACACAGCACCTGACTGACTGAAGAGCCACTCTTTTTCCCTGTCAGACAGCAAACAATTCCAGCTAGGGCCGTGGTTTTCAACCTTTTTTTTAAGGTAGACTTCTCCCCCCCCCCCCCCCCCCCCTACCCCCCTCCCCTACAGTCCCCTTTTATGGCATGTGATCCTTCTCTGCCTTCCTGTACTTTAAAAGTAAGGAAAAACAAAAGTAATGACAGAAAACAAGTGACCATTAAGTAAAGTTTAACTTCAACAACAACACTAATGTAATGTACTTACATTTGCTATCAGCCTGAGGCAGTAGAAGACTACCGAAACTATCTCCCATACATGAAGAGTCTGAAATCGGAGAGATAATAAATACTCAGTTCATTACATTAAGTAATGTAATATCAAAACAAACATAACTGGCAAAGAAATAATAAAACAGAACACACACAAAAAGAAAAAAAGGACATTAGGGCTAACATAATCTATAACAGCCAAAAAAAAAATTGGAAAATAGTCAAAGACACTGTTGAACATAAATATAACTAAACATTTGAAATTTTTTGGGTTTCACTTTTCAAATTCAAATTTTAGCAAAACAAACTCTACTTTAAACATTAGAGATAACATTAATGCAACATAGCTGACCAGCAGAAAATGACAAAACTATCATACAGAATTAAACCTATAACATAACAATTGCCCATATGTTACCAGGACTCTAAGGGTATGGTTTAGCAATGTTGAATAGTAAGATAGTAATGCTGCACCTTTAAAAGCATGTTTATAAGAGTCAGCTAAAGGTTAGGGTTGATATTATGGTTGACTGCTGCATCGCATAAAAGCCACAGAAGTTAATTAAGAATAAAAAGAATTATTCAATCAACCAATATGAAGAAGGCTCTTCTCTTTGAAGTGATATGGATCAAGCTAAAAGGATCACTGACTTACCTCCTCGAACTTATAAACATTTATTTAACTGTTATACGGATGGTAAAACTATGTATGAATTGGGATCAAAAAATTTATGTAAGCAGTTTAGGATTACCCCCCTTTTCCTCCAAGAAGCCTAAATGTAGTAACTTCTAGTTGTATCACATCCCAATAAATGCTAATTTTAAGTCAAATTTTCCCAAAAGCCTCAGTGATATATGTCACGTGGTCATGGCATGAGTCACTCGATATGTTTCAGTTTTTTTATTCCCTTAGGTATGTATTCCATTAAATGTTTCCATCTGTTCATAAAGTTAAAAGGTTAAAGTCGAAAGAACCGACTTCATTGCACCAGGTTTTATCCCATATGGCTCGGGCTCTCTCCGCAAAACAGCTAGCCGCCTGCCGAGAACGCCGCACAGAGCATGAACTCCATAGCTCACATGATGACCCCCATGGATCTCTCAGCTGTGAAACAAATCCACGACTTTCAGAACGTAAGGCAAACGGCTTGACCATTTCGCCACAAAGCTCCCCTTTATATACCATCATTCATTTCTGAGACAATTTTTAGATAACAGATTTTTTTTTTTTTTTTAAATTTATAGTGAGCTGTGTAAGGGGATTCTTTTGTTTAAGGATTTTTTTCTGGAAATTTAAACAGATTTATGGCTCTTTTTTTTAATAAAATTTACAGGGCAAAAGAGTGAGGTAAAAGGTTGAGGTGAAAGGGTTAAGCTATAAGGACAGAATAGGGGAAGCAAGCAACAAGATTCTCATTACAGGCAAAATGATATTATAGAGGTGAATAAGATGAGAGGTGAAAGAGGACATGGTGAGATCTGCATGAGATGGTAAAGAAGAGTTAAACTATGGACAAGCTGGAGGAGGGTTTAAGCTGTAATGGATTAAGGTAGGGCTTTTCAACAAAGACTGCACAGGGGACAACATTTTGAAAATGGGGATTTGCCACGGGCCAGATCTCCTAGTTCCAGCATAAAAAGATCATTAATACAATACAAGTGGTACTGCTTCGTAGTAAGTCAGATTATTTCTCGTCCTTTTTAGGATGAAATTTTTCGTTATTTGAAGCCCTACTCTGGCTTTTGCCAGAGGCCTCAACATAGCCTGGCCATATCTTAAAGGCTGAACGCAATTTCCGGGACCTCTCCACGGTGATCCTCACCCACATGGTGGCACATTGTGTCATCAGGTGTTTATCGCTTGTGTGATGTCCTGGTGGGGTAGAAAGTCAGTAAATCAGTCAATACAAGTGGCAATGACTCGCGAGCCACATGCTAGGCTTCCGGAGGACAGATTTGGGTCACTGGCCGCCAGTTATATAAACCTGGATTAAGGGATGACAAAGAAAAGGAGGAAGAGCAACAACAGAAGAATTAGAAGCAAAAGGATGAAAGGAGATGATAATGTTTTTATACAAATATATTTTTATACTATGCTGCATACATACATGATCTTGTTCTAAATGAACAGTCGTTATCAAGGCAACAGCTCCAGTTTCGTAGAGGATCGTTATCACTAGAACATATATCCATGGTAGCAGTAGGTATTTCCGATCCTGCAGCACACAATCATGAGCAGAAATTAAACATCGTAAAACACAGCAGGCTGAAAATTATGCTGAATTTCTTCCTTTTCTTTGTGTTCCCCAGCTGTAAACTCTAGCGGTAATTTCTTGTTATGTGTAGACTTCTATACTTTATTCATGTTCCAGAATTGAGTTTTGCATGCATATCTGATTAACAGATCTGGTTTATTTGAAAGCACACTGTCGATTGCTCGCCTCTCAGGCAGATGCACTCCAACTTCAAAGGAAATACCGTTAATTAGTATACTTTTATGACATGCTTGTTGGGAGGGGGGGGGGAGATGCAGTGGGTCTATTCTTTTCTCCCCCCCCCCCCCCAAATGGGTACCCAAAACCCACATAGGGAATGCTGAATTTAATTTATTAACTACTTCAGACTGTTTAACTATAACTCATACTTTAAAAAAATAACTGTCACTTTAAACTAATAACAGTTATACTTCCTTCTTACGCTCCACACCGTATGGCAGGGCTATTCAACTGGTAGCTAATGGGGCAGATGTGGCCCACGTAGGCCTAGGAAGTGGCCCATGGATCATTGTCATTTATATTGTATTAATGATGCTTTCCATGCTAAGGCCTGCAATGATCCCCATTTTTAAAGTACCAGCTCCTGAACAGCCCTGCTCTATAGCATTGGAACTCGTGCCTATCCCTAGCCTTCTGTCTTGCTCATGTACTTTCAATCATTTCTGACACAGATGTTCTGTGTACGGACATGACATTTCTTTGCAAAGTATTCATAGTAGTTTGCACTTTTTTCAGTGACAGCAGTGCCCATACTGGACAGCTTGTCCAAGACACTGTGCCTACACAGGAGGTATAATCTGCCTAGCACAGTTGAAGTGGTCACCAGTATTTGAAAACTGTTCACCACTTTTTAATCCATCATCTGCCTGCCATGGCTTCACGTAAACCTGATGGAAGGCTAATCAGGTATTCTACACCTGTCTGTGCCCAGTAGACTGTGGAGGGATGAAGGTGTTTTATATCTCCTGTTGGTAAGGTTTATCCTACCCCACTATCCTTCCTGGCTTTCTAGCGTAGTTGGCTAAACCGGATTGCGCAGTGACTGGGTGACAAACTCCTTGTGGTCCAGGTTCACTCCTGGCGGTAGGCAGAAAAGTCACATTTCTCCGTTTTATGGTATTTACAATGGAATCAAGGCCAAAAGTTTGTGATATCCATAATACCGAGCCTAAGGGTTAACAACTCATGGCTTCTGGATACCAAAACAAACAAACCCCACTACCCTGCATTTAAAGAAGTTAAAATAATAATCTAATCGAGCTGGGTAAGTTAAAATAACAAGTGAAATGCAACAGTTGAGCAATGTGACCACACCCAGCAGACCTGACAACTAAGCTAAGAGACCTTAAGATAACATCCTAGTTTATGGCCCACAGTGGATTATGTGCATGATGAGAGATCGCTAAAATAGAAGAAAAAAATTAGGCTGGATTTAGTACAGCTGGATAAAATAGCAGGGACAGAGATTATTTCATTTAAGAAGGAACGCGTGATGAGTTAGCTTACTATCCTGGTGACCACTTCAACTGTGCTAGGCAGATTATACCTCCTGTGTAAGCATTTAGCATGCTTTTCTGCCAGGCTGGTATTAATGTGTCTCTTCTTCTTTGTTCACCCTAGGATGTAAATGCATTGTGTCTTTTACAACATCGGTGTGATATTTGCACACTTTTTGGCTGATACATCCAACTTCTTCACTCCTTTGTTGCCCAGGTTAGACTTCCCGGGGTTAACGTTTTGAATCCCACCAAGCTGGGCATTTTTTGTTACTGACCTGGGCTCCCAGACCAACCAGCCTAAAACTGTCCTGGGAAGTACAGATGGCAAACATGACAGTGACTACATCATCCATCAAGTGTCAACTGGTCTTTACAAAATGGAGGATTAGTGCTGTATGCCCAAAATTATAAACAGATGAGAAAATAGGTTATTTTTACTGACTCCAGCATAAGACAATGCCGATCAGCATAAATAAACATTTCATACAAAGCATAGTCATTACCACTCTATGCTACCAGTGCCAGACATGGTCACTCATAACAAAACAGAAAGAAAAAAAAATTAGTAACCAGTGAATGGCATGTCTGAGAAAGGTTGTAGGAGTTACCAGAAGAGATAAAATTAGGAATTAGGTAATGAAAGAAAAAGTCCGCACAGAACCAGTTTTACATTACATACAGGCATTTTCTCTGCCTCTCTTCCCCTCCAACTTTCTTCGTGTCACGATGTAATCCAGCATTCTTTTTCTTGTGACATGTCCAACAATTATGAATTATCTTTTTTGTTTTTGGTTTTTGGTTAGAGATGGGTAATAAGTTAGTTTTCTTTGTAAGTCCTTGTAACTAAATACAAAAATTATTAAAAATTAAAAGCTACAAACTGAAGACTCACCATGTAGACCCCTGGTAGCAGTATCAGGGACACCCCAACAAGGCAGGAATAAAGAACAAAACCTGCATAAACTATTCCTTTCAATTCTGAAACAGATAAACAGAAGATACACGTATTACTTTACTGTAACTTCTAAGCTTCCTATTCTCCAATGCAGTCTTGACAAACTCACACCAAACTGTCCTATCCCCTACCATCACACGAACAAGATGGAAAGATGCAAGCAGAAAAAGTCTAAAACAGTACATGCTGTCCATGGTCGAAGTGACCAGAAGAGCAAGAAGAAAAAAGCTACAAATAGTTGTTCTGAAGTTCAGAGGGAGCTTAGTCATAAGTCTTTGTCTTAGTCGAGGTTTCAACATCCCTGCAATCAAGTTTTCCCATAGTTGCTCTATTCCTGTGCCAGTGCAAATCAAATGAAATGTCCCTCACTGTTGCATTTGAAAAACTGTTAAGAAAACAATCAGTCCTGGAACAATCCAGAAATATGTGCACAGAGTAAATGCATATGGCAGTTGCTAGAGGCCCCAAAGCCAACAGTCGCCACCAGAAACACTGGTTGTCATTGATGGAAGTAGTCCGGCACGATAAGTTAGCTACACACACGTAGAACCACTACATAAGGTATTTCAAACGTAAAACAGCTACCGGCCATATTGAAAAAACCACAACAGCTGCACAAGTGAAAGACATTCCACATGAAAAACAGTTCACAGGGCTGTACCAAACACTAAATTCAGTAGCTCAGGCAGCGAAACCGTAGACTACCATCCATATGAGTAAACTGCATTAGTAAAGCGCAAAAAATAAAAAAAATTACTTTAAAGCGTAACATTCTATGTCTAATCCTCCACTGTGAAACAGGGAGCTCCCAGTGTGCGTTCTGATCCCTGTTACAAGGAAAACAATAGACACACTGCCTACCGAAAAGCATGTCTGATGAATTGACTAATTGGGATTTTCCTTTGAAGTCAGAGAACATCTGCCTGAGAGGCAAAGAAACAAGTCTGCATACAAATGACTCAGATCTGTAAAACAGGTGCATACGCGACAATCAGGTTCTGGAACAGGACTATAGTCCAGAAGTGGACGAACAACCAGAAATTTCCACAAGAGTTACAGCTGGTAAATGCAAAGAAGAAGATAACAGGGAGCTGCCATGGTGCAGCAGCTAGACTTCACCTCAGGTAGAAGGGTTGTAGGTTTAAATCCATATCGAGCCGCATTTTTCCAATTATGACCCAGTTTCCCAGGTCAACCCAGCCTAAAATGGGTACCAGGTAAAGTCCTGGAAAGTAAAGGCAGACCATCTATTGAGTGCCGATTGGTCTACAAAATATAGGTCCATCACTATATGCCCAATAAGCAAAATGGCATAGAAATGGGTCCTTTACTTCCCTAAATTTAGGGAGCAGTTAGGGAGGTGGGAACGCAATTAGCTTAACAGTAATAATTTTATCACTAACAACATTAATAAAAGCACATCTACATATACCTACCTAATGAGTTATTGATCTCATCAAGTGCTATATACCTCAGCATGTAAAATGCCAAACATACAACCGAAATGATCTATGGAAACAAAAATACATAATTTATTTATAGAAAAACAAATGTATCTATCAAATACTATGAGTTGTGAAAGTATTATGAAAAAACAAATCTATCAAATACTTTGTGTTGTAAAATAATGGAAATACAAATCTATCTATCAAATATTCAAAATTGTTAGATTATTTAAGGAAGTAAAATTTCCAGCTTTTAAATATTTTAAAGGTTTTTTAAAATACAAATTAAAACTTCTTCTTCATAGTTTTCACTGTCTGTGAACTCAATAAGAAAGTTCTGGTTGTTGTCCACTTCTTAACTTGTCTTGTTTACAGATTTGGCCCACTTGTATGCTGACTGTTGGTTCCTCCTCGCTCAGGAATAGACGCTGTCTTCAAAATAATCCCTATTTAGTCACTTTTTATGACAGGCCTGTCATAGGGGCAGTGCCCCCGCTCCCCAAATGGGGCCCTGGAACCCACATGGGGAAAACAAATGAAATAACAGTTTGCAAATTATAAACAATACAACTGCTATCAGTTGTGATGATACGTCTTTTTCTTCTGTCTCTTCCTCCTCTCTTTCTTCTGCTTCTTCTTCATCTTTTCCCTTGTCTTCCTATTCAACTTGTCTCCCTCCTACCCAATTTCTTCCTATTCTTCCTTCCTCCTCCCTTTTCCATTTGTACTCTTATTCTTCTACTTCTTCTTCCCAAGCTTTGAATGTACAAGAGATACAGCTTGCAGGGTATTCTCGATTTACCAACCATGCAGAACAGAATCAAATTTGCCGAGCTGGTGCCTACCTCCAGTCAAAGCAGACACCCCGTGCATGTTGAAATAAAGAAGAAAAAATACAGCAGCTTAAAAAGAGAAAAGTTGTGGATGGGTCAGGTCAAAGTTATTATTCAGCAAGGTGTGTTCACTTGAGAACATAGGAATGTGCTGAGGAATAGGTATAAGTACCAAAAAAGTGGTGTACAACCCTTTTTGTTTGCACCCGACTAGACAGAAAATGCAGACAAGAAAGTCTAGCCGCTGTTGATGCAGAAATGCAGACTTTGACTTTCGACAATTCTTTACAGGGGAATGAATGCTGTTATTTACACAGATAGGTCTGTAATTCGCTACGTGAGAAGCTTTTGGGCTTTTTCTGCTTAGGTTGGAGTTAGAACTGTGAAGCCAGATTTTAGTGCTATTGCCTTGACCACAAGCAGACTGACTATGGAGGTCATGGCAGTGACCAAAGCAATAACATGGCTGGAAACACAAACCTTTTCCAGATCATGCTTTCTCTGTGACTCAATGAGTATGCTCAGGAAGACAGAAAAGAGCTGGATCAGTCAAAAAACAGTGGTTGGAGTGCCTAAAGCGGTTGGGGTTGACACGTGTCAGTTTCATATTTGTGCCAGGGCACGCAGGTATGCAAGGATATAAGGAAGCTGATCGGCTTGCAGGCTAAGATACTGTGGAGAGTGGTCGAGCCATAGACCAGGCTGACATTCTGAATGCTCTACAAGAAGTCAGGCGTTTGCGAGAACCAAGTGATAAATGTGAATCTGCAACCATGACCAGACTGCAAGAACAACATGTTAAAAGGGATGTGGCAGGACAAGAGCACTACGCAGGAAACCAAAGAAGAATTTTTAAAAAAAACAACACAGAACTGGTGTCATAAGCCGCTATTAGCTAACGGATTTACTAAGATTGAATGGTTTGATGTGCAGTGAGGATAATTTGTCGACTATCTAACTAAGCTTGCAAGACTCCTTACTGTAGGCATAATCAGTTTCCATTTCTTGTTATCCCCATCAATTAGTGTCATTTTTGTGTGTATCATCTTCGCAATGAAGGTTGGCTATAGTGCACCCACTGTCTTCTTTCGTAAAATTACACGGTGAGCCCCAATTTAACTCTTTGAATCCCAAGGAACGCATCATACGTTCATAGGTTACTGCCTAGAAGCCCAATGAACGCATGATGCGCCAATTTTTCTTCTCTTTTGACTACCCCTTGGGCCTGTGATGCTAAACCCTCTGGGACTCAAAGAGTTAATGACCTGTCGTGAGTTGGTTGAGGGCCTATGCTCCATAGGAGGTTAGAAAGGCAGAAGAAGAAGATGCCCAAACTCTTACAATGTGTGACTCTCATACTATTGTCCAAAAATACACTACCGCAGTTTTCTCACCTGGATTATTAAAGTTTAAATCGGGAGGTTGTTTGTGGACAAATGAAATGATGAGGACACCAAAGACAAATAATAAGGGTGAAGATGTCTTGAAAGGAATTAACTCACAAAGAGAACTGAAAGATACAATCTACATGATTTTGTCACAGTGTGATAAGGGAAAACAGTACATCGTGACAACAGGAAAATGGGAGGGGAAGAGATGCGGAAGGAAACCAAGATAGATGATGCTATACAATGTTGCATGATGTCATGAAGTGTAGACTCATATGAGAACTAAAAAAAAAAAGAGAGAAATAATTTATCAATACAGTCGCATATAGTTATGCAGAAACAAGGAATGAGAATGCAGACATGGGCTTGCCAAATGTTTGTCCTATAAGGGATTGCCAAGACAGTTTTTTAAAACCCCAAAAATGAACACTATATTAAAAACAGACAGTTCTTTACTGTGCCAGAATTTTTATATTTTGTTTGGAAGCCAAATCCAATGTTTTCTAAACTGGACACAGAAATGTCATATAAAGCCAACAGTCAACTCTTCCTTGGCCTCTTTGGTATGATTTTTATTTGGCCACATGACAAAACTTATAAAACAATGGTAGTCGTGGAGCCAAACTTCGAATGAATACACTTTATTTTTAGTTGCCTTTGTAATTTTAAACAAGTCATTCCAGTGTTAATTTTAAACCATCCTATACAAATAGAAATCTGCAAATAGTTCCCAAAATGTGCTGAGTTTTAAAATAAAAAGAACAATGGTAGCTGCTTGATGTGTCACCCATCTTTAGTTTCTGGCTTTTGAAGGCGCTTCAGCTTGTTTTGGCAGCACTGAAAGATCTAGGGCCAGTTATTTTGTGGTATTAAAGGCTTACAATTGTGGCCAAATATGGGGACATAATTTCTAGTAACTATAGACATTGTCTGATCACTGCTAAATTTGAACCATTTCTGAGCCACCATATTGAATCTATTTTCTTCTTGAATTTATTCTCTGTCAAGAATAATACACCCATTAAATGACTTGTTTTCTTTAACATATTTTCTACAGAAACAATAAAACCACTATAGAAAGTATCTTTTTTTTCCAGCTGACTTAATTCTCAACCAGCCACAGGAGCGGAGCAAATATGGGGTGACCCGTTTGCTATGAAGCTGAAACTAAGACTACCAGACTACCAAAAGTCGACTAAATGGTGGGGGGGGGGGGGGGGGGGCTACCTTCAATGTCGGAGTGCATCTGCCTGACAGGCAAGGAAACAACAGTCTGCATGCAATAAGCAAGATCTGTAAAATGGATGCTCACGCAAAACTCAGGTCCTGGAACCAAGCCAAAGTCCAGAAATGGACGAACAACCAGGTCTTTCTGTCGGGGTTTACAGCCCGTGAACGCAAACAAAAGCAATAGTCTGATAGGAATAGTAACTAGGTTTTCTTGAATGTATTCTCTACTTAATTCAACAACAACAAAACTATATAACTTTTTTCTTTAATTAATCCCCTACTACAGAGCTATTCAACAAAGTTTACTCGAGGGTCAAAATGTTGATAATGGGAGATCGTCGTGGGCTAGTTGCGGTGAACGAGGTGTAGCGTCTTGTTTGTCAACCATTGTTAGTCTCATCTTTTTCATATATTATTATTTTACATTTTTTGGGCTGAAGATACATTGATTTTGTATGGCTTCTTTTCCTGATTTTGTCAACCAAGGTCGATCTATGAGCTTAGAAGGGTCAGATTTGATCGAGTTTGCCGAAGTCAGATTAAACGAAATCACGAAGAGAAAAGAAAAAGCGTTAGAGAGACAGTAGAAGAAAATTGACTATTGAAAATACAACTACTTAATGCAGAAACAAGAGAAAGCAGAGGCAGAAAGGCTTAAGTGTGGACTGCCGCGGTGGAGTGGTAACATAACGCTCGCATGTCGGTCCGAAGGTCTTGAGTTCGACTCCGCATCGAGGCGGGTTTTTTTTCTCTCTAAAACTTAGCTTGGCTCCCATGTCGGCCCGGCCTAGGAGTGGTACCAGGTAATGTTTTGGGAAGTAAAGGCAGCCACCCACGATTGGCCTATACAAATAATAGTTTAGCACAGGGTTATTCAACTAAGTATATTCAGGAGGGGGGGGGGGTGTTGAAAATGGGGATCGTCACAGGTCAGAGACCAGAGCCCTAGCATAGAAAGATCATTAACACAATACAAATGGCAATAATCCGCGGGCCGAATTCAGCCCGCCGGCCGCCAGTTGAATAGCCCTGGTCTAAAACTATAAGCCCTGAGAGTGTGAGAAAAAGATTTGGAAAGTGAAGGAATTTGTTTCTTGAAAGTTAGAAAGTGAAAGACGAGAACAGGGGAAGGGGGCTTAGCTATTTCACTTCCTTTACCGCAGCGTTAGCCCAGGCATTACACCCACACTCTTGACCCGCTTGTGTAAACAGAAAAGCCAGACACAGTGGGGAACCGGCCATAAAAATTCCCCGTAATCCCGACCAGGGTCAAAGGTGACGAACTCTGGCAAATATGCTGACCCTAGAGTTGCACTCCAGCTCTTATCCCTTCTTCTGCAAGACATCACATATCATTTAGTTCTGTGGCTGTCTATAGTACTAGTCTTTGACTTCCGAACACAATGGCGTGTATCGAAAGGTCACTCCAGTTTTGGAAGCTGGCTGGGAGTCAAAGAGCTCTGTGCTAGCGATGAATGAAACCTGGCTCAGCAACCGTCCATACAGTAACCGCAGAGGAATTTGCTTCCATGAACAATAGGTGTCAGTGGTGCCTATGGCCACAATTGTAAATATCCGCATATTTGTCAAGCGGCCAGTTCCCTGATTTGAATGTCATATTGGCATTATTGTTGGGTGACTGGTTGAAGGCTGTAGTTTAAAAGGGTGGGTTCGAACCGAGGTCACGGCGTCTCTGCTTAATCCAGTCATGTATTATGCTAGATGTGTAGGTAACAAATACGCGAAAGAAAGTTAGTAGCCCAGCCTTACAAACCTATCGATCATTCTTCTATTTCTCACCCCCCCCCCCCAAATTTTTTTAATTACTTTGAGGGCGTGTGCTCCACTGGTGGAAGAAGTATAAGAAAAATTGTCTTTTCAAGTTCAACATGCATCTACCAAAATACCATTCACCAAAATTCCCATAATTAGAACACTACACTTTGATAACATTAGTGTGTATCAATTATTACAGGTATCGCTTAGAAACTGCTTTGATAACATTAGTGTGTATCAATTTTTACAGGTATCGCTTAGAAATTGCTTTATTATTTGGAGTTCAAAATCACCCATTCCAAAGCTCAACTTTCTTCACACAACACCACTAAGTTCAGCATCCTATAACATACACACACGGTCATAAAACACACGTTAAGACGGGCGCGAACACACACACATACATGAACAGAGATATGCGAACAATCGTACGTGCGTCATCACACACCCGCCCAAACACAACAGCACAAAACTTACCATTGTGTAATAGCCCGAGACTGCACTTCCGGTTCTGGTATTGGTCCAGCACAAAAACGAGCTAATGATCGCCATAGTCTCATCAGATAATTACGAAACCAACACCGTATCCAAGGCAACGTATATCTTTGGTCAACACAAACTCCGCTGAAGTTTACGCAACTAGCGACTTCTACGATGACAAAGTTTCTGCCAAAGTAGTTTCGAGTTCCCTTTTAAAGGGAGATTTTGCTTAGTAAATGTACAAGGTGACGAAACGGCTGTTTACAAGCTCTTCTGCGGTGTAAACTGTTTTGGATCCGTTGTTATAACCACCCCAGTGGTTACTTTAGGTGAAATTCTGGAAGACAAAAACAAAGACAGTGTGTTAACTCTTTTAATCACAAACATTTGTTATTTTAACCCATGCCATAACAGCCATTAGTACTTTAAACTAATAAATGGTAAGATTAAACTAGTTCTATTAATGGTTCAGTTTATATCAGTTAAACCTTCACTGCAAAGGGATCCACTACAATTGCTCCGGTCCTTTGCGAGCGGAAAGCACAAAGAATGCCAATCGCTGTCCCTTGTGGGAAAATTAATCAAGTAACAGAAAGTGTATTGATCGGCACTCATAGAAAGAAGTAGAAAGATAGAAGAACTCACTAGACAACATAAAAATCGAAAGCTATAGTTACTGTGCCGGGAATTGAACCTGTCACCTCCAGACGGCGTCTGCGCCTCGTCATGAATACAACTGCACCAAGAACATGGTCAACTAGGCACCCCCACCCCCCCCCCCCCCAAAGGTGTCTTGTTGGCCATGTCTATCGTACAGCTTGAAATCCACAACTATGGAATACGGACATAATTCATTTCACCCCATTGAAATGGCACCATAGGTTACATAAATTTATATTAACGAAGCATATGTCGAATAACAATCACAGCAACCATTTACGAACACAGTAGACCTTATTGCTTTGTCTAGAATACACCAACATTTAAGAAAGGTATTTGATTGGTAGGTTCTGGTGTATATACGTCATGTGGTAAGGGATGGGGGTTATTTAAAAAAAACTAAAAAACCAAAAAACAATCCGGGTTTTAGGGGATTTGAACCCACGACCTTCAGGTCTGCAGGCAAACGTCTACTAGCCGCTACGCCACAGCAGCATAAAGATAATCATAACATGTTTGAAATTACCAAATAAACGTACAGTGAGTTGCTTAGCACAGAATGAGTTGAATTGTGTATATAAAACATAGAAAAGTGGGAGATGGTGCTAGAGGCTGTTCTAGCCCAGTGGTAATAAGTTCAAATCCCTGCAACCGGAGTCGATTGTCTCGTAAAATAAGCGTTCAAATAATATGAGATATTGACTGAGTGGCTTGTGTAATACAAATAAAATGCAGACCAGGTTAACATCTATTGTTCTTCTTCTTGTAGTCCCTGTGAGGTCGTTTACTGTGGCTGTGCTCTCTCGTGTACTGACATTATTTCCCATAAGTTCCGATCTAACTAAATACTGGGGTTTTTTTAATATCCAGAAACCATGAGTTTTCCGTTGGCTCGGTACTATGGGTATCGCAACCCTACGACCTTGATTCAATGACAGATACCGTAAATCTGGGAGAAATGTGGCTATTCTGAATACCCCTAGGCGTGAACTCGGACCACAAGGAGTTCGTTACCAGGTTCGAACCTTTGTGGTTCCATTCCGTGTGGGTTCCGGGGCCCTATTACAGGGAAAACAAGAACAGACCAAATGCGTACCCAGAAGAATGTCGTAAGAGTCGACTAATTTGGAACTTCCGTCGAAGTCGAAGTACATATGCCTGATAGGCAAGGAACGAAAAGTCTGCTTATAAAGGAGTCAGATCTTTAAAACGGATGTACACGCAACACTTAGGTTCTGGAACAGGACTGCAGTCCAGAAATGGACGAACAATCAGATTTGTCTGCCTAAGTTTACAGATGGTGAACGCGAAGAAGAGGATTTAATGTATAGATGACAGTTTTAAAAATTATAAACAAAATATTTTTGTTTTAAAAAAAAAAATACACCACGTATGTATACATGGCAATGTTCTTGTACAAACTAACCATCTCTGTGTTGTTTTTATGAATTCGTTGCACTGTTAAAAGTTTTGCAACCGGTTCAGTTTCACTGTTACTTTTAAACGACAAGCATGTAATGTTTTGACTCGTTTTATTTTTCACAGCGACCAGTAAAATAACAACTATTGCTTACTTTAAAACAAATGCTTGTCTGCCAAACGATTTGCCACATCCATTCAACATTTTCGGCCGCAACGAAGACAGACAACCGTCCCTACCACAGGGCTTGAGCCAAGCGTTTATTTTTCGCTCGCAGCAACTGGGCTCGGTGGTGACAAACAGGCATGTCAAAACATGGCTCTAAACGCTGACAGCCAGATCAAACACTCCATCGTGGATTCGTAAGCCAAATCTTTCACAGCTACCCTAGAGACCGAAACGTTGTTGTGAATTCTTGGTAGCTTTAAATGTCTTGCCAGCTGGCGCTGGTTAATGTTCTGTATCCAACTCACTCTTCATTTTTTTTTTAATCGACGTTTTTATTTATGTCTGTTCATGCTATTATGTCAATTATCATACACCGTTTCCAAGATGAAGGCTGCCTGGCTGCAATGGGATTTCCACTATTCGTCTCTCGTCTTTATCGTTCACTCTCTAAGACGGCTATTCGCCCATCTCTTAGCGTTATTCGTCCCGCTTGAAACAGCGTATACCTCTTGCTAACCCCTGCTTTCAACGTTCCCCTCGAGTGCAATTTTTACATTCGGTAAGACTATCTTTCATTCACTCTGCTTTTTACACTACTCGTTCAATTGGTTTCTTTAGTATTCATTAGTAAAAGAAGAAGAAGAAGAGTAGCAGGTGGAGGAGGAGCAGAAGAAGAAGAAGAAGAAGAAGAAGAAGAAGAAGAAGAAGAAGAAGAAGAAGAAGAAGAAGAAGAAGAAGAAGAAGTGCAAATTGTTAGTTTTTTCTTTTGGTATTCAACAGACTTGGTCAAGCTCTTACACAAAATTTAATAATTATCAAGTGAGTGTGTGTATATATATATATATATATATATATATATATATATATATATATATATATATATATATATATATATATATATATGGATACAAAATTAAATAATTATCAAGTGAGTATATATATATATATATACCCGTGGTAGTTTGAGTGTTGAAGATTTGGCAAGGCTGAAAATTACAAGTGGCTTGCCAGAGTGGTCACCGAATAGCTTTGTTTTTTGCACCCCTCCCCTCTTTTAGTTTGCGATTGACAAAACCGGCAGTTTTTTTTTTTTACTTGATTAGGTTCTTATTGTTCATCTGTTTAGGATCTGTTATAATGACATGCATGAAACCCGTAAAGGATATATAACATTACCAATGTAAACCTAATCCTAGACAGTTCACGCTTCGTTGAATCTGTATCTGGTTATACCCCACCAGCTGTGTATGCCTGCTGTGTGGTAAATAGCTAACGTGGCGCCACAGAAAATGACCCCCCCTAGGGCCGTCCTTTGCCTTTTATCTACCGACGAAGGTCACACAAGTGGAGCCGTCTGCACTGAAGCTAATAAGTCCACCGACCGAAACGTTGTTTTGTGGATGTTTTCCTGTTTTCCCTTATATTCAGCTTTTCCGTTTCATTCAGCTTTTTAGTCACATTTCACTGGAACTCCTTGGTGGAAGCCAAACTTTACGGGCCTCTTAAAAGTGAATTTCAAAAGACAGCGAAGTTCGAACTAGAGACAATATTGCAAATATAGATAATTCATATATATATATATATATATATATATATATATATATATATATATATATATATATATATATATATATATATATATATATATATATATATACAAACGTCACTTATAGTAAACTGGAGTACATCATGACAGGAGAGTAGAGGCAGGGGGAGAACAGATGCTGAACAGTTTGACATCTGGCACAAAGGATTATCTGTGTCAGAGTTATCTAAAAGTACACGAGACAGAAGGGTGTGGAGAGACACGACTACCAACGCCACATGGCGTGGACTTGAAGAAAAAAAAAGAATTTCAGAAAATAAATCGTATATGTGTATGTTTACTTACACTAGCGCAGGGTCATGCAAAGCCTCGAACACGTTTCATTAAAATCTCTTTACACAATTAACATAAGTTATTACACGGAGCAAAACTTTCTAGCCCGATTACACGCAGAAACACTTTCCCAGCCGTTGCCATCCCCTAGCAATGATATCCCGAAATATGGTGACAGACTAATGTTTTCATAATCGTTCTTTCCGAAACACGGGGAATCTTCTCCTCGCAGGCGACACAACAAAAACCTTGAAAGCTTTCGTCATCACAGTTGCCAAGCAAACAAATGACAGGGTGAGACAACGGGAGATTAGCATTACAAATTACCAATCACAACACGAGAGACAAGGTCGTGAATCCTCCTCTCTTTGCTCTAGGAGGGCTTTTTGGTAAACCCGTCACCGACGTAGCAGAGACCTCCAGATGACTGTAGTGCTTGGGATACTGATGGCCGGTGTTCTGGTAGAAAAATCACCCACTAACCTACAGCTGTGGGGGATCAACGGCGCCTGTGGCAAGAGACAGAGACGGGAACGGGAAAACATTCAGGATGGAACTGGCATGTTTATTGCCGTGACTAACAAAAGTGAAGGCTGTAGTGTTAGAGGGAGATAGTCAGTGACTGTGGATAAAAGAAGGTGTGAACAATGGAACAATACGACAAAGTTCTTGCCCTGTCGTGTGAAACAGGGGCGGAGTATTTAGGTCAGGGATAAAATAAAAGGGAGGCTGGCAAACTGCCTGCGGGGACCTATAGTGTAAACTAGGTTTAGACCACACTGCAGCCGGACAGTAAATGTTAAACAATAAACTGGACTAAAATATGCTACAAAACAAAACATTAATTAATTCAAGTTCTAGACTCATTGTGGAGTCAGCGATAACACAATTTTTTTTTTTTACTATGGGTGTTTCGTCCTTTTTAGGACGACATTTTTCGTTATT